CATGGCTTGATTAAAACATTAGTTAAATTTAGAGCAGCTTAACTTTGAAGATAGCTGCTTCTGTTTCAGATCTGAAGTGCTTGATATGCCTGAGGCTGTGTCTGTTCATTCCCATCTGTAGCAGTTGATCTAATAACAGGTATCACATCCCACCATAAGCTTTGCCTCACTTGTGCTATTGAGGCAAGAGAAAGAGAAAATTACTTTCTGCATGTGCAAAATGCATGCAGTTGTGTAATTTTCTCTCCTAATATTTCTTGCTAATATCCATTTGAAGCCCAGCTTAGAATATATAAATATTTGGTAAGATCCATATATATATATATATTTTTTTTTTTTTAATATTATATAAAGTATTTGAGCTAGAGGGGGAGAGCTGCTGCAGAGTGGTAATTAAAAGACAATGAAAAGCAGAGTAAGTAGCTTTTCTTAGTAGTATTAGCTTTCCTAATAGAGGTTAAGTCCAGGTGCATCCAGTTGGACTTTGTGTCTACAGGATAGGTCTTTGTAAGTGAAAGTACTTCTGCTGTAGGTGCATCAAGTTCACCTAAACCCAAAGACTGCAGACAAATCCTTTCTGTGGCAAAAAGTGCATAACATAGATTGTATACCTGTGCCAGTGTGTGAAATGTGCAGAGGCAGGACATGGAGGTGACTGTTCAGGGTGCTAGGACTGGGCTGCTGGAGAGAAATGGAGCCAGTGCAGTCATGTGAGGAGATCCTTGGCTAATGGTGAATGCCCGGGGGACCTCAGGAAACACTGCAGGTTGTCGTGCTGAGGCCTGCTGTTCTAGCCATCCTCTTTATCAGTTGATTTTATGTCTTTCTGCTTTAATACATGCAAATCAGAGCATAGTTGTTTTTAGATAGATATCGAGTATGTTATCGTTACACACTTTACTATTTTCTTAGGAAATGTTATTTACATACGGGAGTGACTGCTGTCTTCCTTAGGAGAATTTTTAGTAAAAATTAGTATGGTAGTATTTCACATTTTGCATCACATACCAAATTGTGCTGAGAGTGCAGCTAATCATCAATTAAAAAATGTGTTAATGTGTTCAGTTGATGATTGGCCCGTTGCTCCATATCCATAAAACATCCAGGTATTGGAAGAGGAGGCAGCCTGAGCACTGTAGTACCACCTGTTGAAAGCCAACAAAAGAAAATAAGATCAGGATGCACAAAAAGAAAAATATGAATTCTTTATAAAAAGGAAAAGTCTTCATTAAAATAAATTACTAAATTATTACTGACTACAGGCTGCTATTTTAAGGGTCACTTATAAATGGGGTAAATGCAGGCTACAGTTCTTCTTTTTATGGGCTGTGTGACCAACAATAGTTCATTGAGTTAACATTCTTCATCCTTCAAATGCATCCTTGAGCATTATTTATAGTATTAATACTCAGGCCACAGATAGTAATTTTATATGTGAGCTTCAGGAGTCTGCCATTTTTTTCTTATGAATTTCTCTTTGGCATTGCGGGAAGGATTTGTTTTGGGTTTGTTGTTTGGATAGATGAACTACGACTTTTGGCAGTGCACTAGGGTGTTCTTTTTATTGCTGTTACAGCCTCCTCATCATCTTTGTTGCTTCAATATTTTGCTAAAAAAGCTTGCATTCACTGTTACAAATTATGATCAAAATTAATTATATTAATATTAAACTAGAATTATATCATGTGTTGTGAACTCGTAACTAAATTCAGTGTAATATACTTAATCTTTATTTTCACGCAGAAGAGTGTGAGGCTTAACATTTGGAGCAGGCAAACTAGGTGATTTTTTTTCCCCCCCTTCTCCTTTGCTTTTCCTGGCAGGATTCCTCTTTTTCACTTTTTGTAGTACCTCAAAATGTATAAATCGTTTTCCCCCATAATGTGATTGAACATTTATTGGAAGTGCAACTTGACTTTAAAAGGTGAATATCAATCAATTGCCCTTAAAATCATTGAGCTGAAGTCTGTCATATAAAACACCTGTCGAGGGATCAAGGAGTAGAGCATGTTATGCTGTTTATGCCTTCCTAATGGCATTTTGATTCGTTGGTGAAGCAATATTTACACATTTTATGCAACTGAAATATAGTTGTTTAACGTAATAAAAAATAAAATTCTATAAACTCTGCCATAAGAGCTCTGACCAGTGTAATTAGTATAGCTGTGGACTTATTACTGTAATAATTTATACTGAGGAAAAGCAAGAGAGATCATGCTCATGTTCTTTTGTTGGCTTTATATTTAGGTCTTTAAAGATGGCTCAAAGCATGTGTGTGCACATTAAGAAACATGAAAGCAGAGAGGAGAAATCTAAATGACTAATGGTGTGAGAGGTTTGCATATGATGAATTAATATAAAGCTAAAGAGTAGCAAGTCTGAAGAAAAGTTAGAAGGCATTGGCTAAGTATGTAAAAGTGTGAAACCCAACCCTATTTTTCTGTTTTATGTGACATGAGGACAATATTCAAGCTCTGAAAGCACAATATATTTGGCAACTATGAAAAAGACACGCTTCACACAGCATGTTGCTTATCTTCTATTTTTGAGGTTTTTTAAAATGACTTTTGGACTCCTGACTGTCGTCTTGTTTCTCAGAAGTTGCTTCTCTGTGTCATTGACATGCTGCCCTTTCCTCGTGACAGTTCCCCTGAGTGCTTCTTACACCCTGAAGTTTTAGCTATTGTCTCAGGACTGATTAAAAGATAATGCTGTGGACCCCCCACTGTCTGCCAGGTGGATCAAAGTGGTTCCCCTTTACATGCAACTCCATGGTTTACTTAATAGTCTAGCCTGCACTGCTTCTGTGTTATACTACTTGAGAGGAAGGTGGACAGAGAACCTCCAGATTAAATTTTTGAAAGAATTTTTGTGGCGAACAACGTAGATGGATGTCTCATATTTCAAGAAATGACTGCATGTCTGTTTTCTCCTAGCTTTAATAGGTAAATCCTATGATAATTTTAGAAAAATTATTTCGATAATAGGCAACATTTGTTATTTGAGGTACAGTAAAATAAATTCAAGCTGTTCAATGGCATGCTGAGAGAGAAACTGAAGTTTATCTGGTGTGTCAGTGAAAAGGAATGATCTTGCTTTTTTATTTATCTTTTGAACTCTGATCAGCTATGATGATCTATATATACCAATGGAATCCTTTGCCAGGTAGTGAATAAAATCACCTCCTTTATTTAAAAAGGAGATACTTGAAAGGTTTCTTCATCATTGCTTGAGTCAGTTTTCAGACCTTCTTGTTTTACCAGTAATTTCACATGATTTTATTGCCTTAGGCTTCAAATAAACCACAGTATTTTAAATACATCTGAATCCTGTGAGTTTCTGGCAATAGGAAAACTAGCTGAAATCAGCTACCCATCCTATTTTGTAACTGTGCCAGATCAAGTTCTTTTGAAATGCATGAGATGAAAATGCCATTCTCTTGAAGAGGAAGCACCTTCCACTTTGCAGGGTTGTTTCAGAGCAGGGGCTGTATTAGCCTCTTAATGCACTTGCATAACTCCCATTAAGATTAATGGAAATTATGTGCACTCTTTGTGAGGTGAATGTACAATTTCGTTGAAATGAGCAACCTATTGTGTCAGATTTTCCAGTGACATGAAATAAAATTTAGATTCCTAGACTAATGTCACTAACACAATTCTTAGTATCTTTTGATGCTTGTAGTTTATATTAATGAAGTTGTAGCTTTATATTAGGTCATGTGTTTATTAACATGGAAAATCCCACTTGCAGTCCTCTAGAAACAGGGAGAGAGTAAATTTTCTTCTTCAGTGTGAACCACTGTATAGCAAACAGTATTTTCTTTGGCTTTGTAGTTACTGCTTGCAGTCCCTTTAGAGGTAGTTTGTAGAGGTTGCATGTTGCAGGTAGCAAACTGTTGGTCTGTGGTTAGGGCAGAGGAATGCTGGGCTCCTTGCTCTGTTCCTGGCCTGAAAAGCTGTTTGACTCTGGGTGACTCAGCTGCCTTTAGACACTAATTTATGTCTAAAGTGTGCAGAATCGGGACATCCTGGCTCACATGTGTGTTGTAAAATCCTGTGAATTGTTTCATTGTGAGTTGAAAGTTGCTAGCTAAATGTTGAATGTTATCTCAGAAAGCAGTGAAAGAATTTTATCACAATGTTAGTGAGATGTAGGTCCTGTTTTATGCACATCATGTGGGTCTATGAATAGTGTAACTCCCTGTTATGGAGTGGTTTATTTATTCCAATACAGTTGTGCTGTTGCAGCCCCTAGTGTGAACACTGTAGTACTGGCATACAGTGTTTCGCCTCTATTGCTCATTCTTGTCCGTTCAGGAGCACATTTGTTAACTTAGAAGTGACATCCTTGTGTTTGGAGGAAGCGTGTGCCATTTCACTGTACAGTATCATACAGCAAGATGTTTAAACACCCCAAATTGTTTATTTAGGATCTGTCTATGATAGCCAAGAACAGACCCAACAGTGAAAAATAGTTCAAGACTGTTAGCCTTCTCCAGTCCAGATGAGGTCACTGGGGGCAATGATTGCTTTAAAGCAAAAGTCCTAATAAATCATAGATTGGAAAGAATATTAGATGTAATAAGAAGTGTCAGGAAGTTCTGGGGTAATCTGTGCTGAATGTCTGACACTATCAGCATGGGAATGTCAGAAGAAAACGTTTCATTCTTATGGTTTTTGTTTTTGTGGTGGTTTTTTTGTTAAGCTTTTCTTAATTACTAATGAATACCGGGCCATTTAATTTCAACTGCACCAGTGGAACGGCGTCTGTGTTAGCATGACCTTTTAGAAGTCTTTAGGCTCACCCTCACAGGGGCAGGGTCCGGGGCAGACGCAGGCCTTCAGCCCCTTTGGAGTCTTGTCACCTCCGCCCCACGGCGCTGGGCGGGGGGGGGGTAGCTGCTGCGTGGGGCTGGCAGCACTCGGCAAGCGCTAGCGATAGGGGACGAGAAGAGCACAGACTATGAAGTGCAATTAAATTCCCCTTCCTCCGCCCGCCATGGACTATCCCCTTCGGTTAGAAAGGCTTTGTGCACCAGGCGGGAGCTCAGCGTCGGCCCCTTCTCTTTGGAGCCTGGCACGGGGGTGCGGGGCTGCGCCATCGTCTTTGAACAAGCCTGCGGCTGGTGGGACAGGTTTCCTCCCTACACGCCGCTGGGCATTGCGCAAACTCGGGAGGAGGATCCTCGAGGTAAATGAACTTTTTAAATGGGAAGGGTAGAAGAAGGGAGAGGAGGAAGAAGAGGCGGGGGCAGCACCCGCCCGAGCGCTTCCTCTAAACGCTTCTTTGGGAAACGGGATTCGGCTGCTGCCCAGCACGGCGGCCGGAGGATGCGCTTCCCCGCGCCACCGGGCCCCGGGCTCCGCGGGCGGGCGGTGGGTGCACCGGCCTTGGCCTGGCACGGCTGAGCGCCGGTTCCGCGGGTAAGTGGGGAGTGCTAGAGGGGAGGTCCGGGGCTCCCGCCCCGCCTCGCGAGCTAGGGGCGGCCGTGCCGCTTGTGAGGCTGCTGGCTACAGAGCCAGGCTGCTGTCGCGGGGAAGCTGGGCGGCGAGTCTAAGGTAGTTGTGTTGGCATCGGGTGGGGCTGGGAGTTGAGCGAGGGGGCCCGAGCGGCAGGCGGGGACTGGAGGCGATGTCGTCCCACCGGCCTCCGCCAGCCGTGCTGGAAGCTCTGCGGAGCTCCCCCGCCCTGCTGCGGCCCTGCCGGCCCGGCCTGGCGGGTGGGCGCTCGCTGGCTGCCGCCGTGGGCTGCGGACCGGCCGGGCGGTTCGTGCCGTCCCCTCGTCAGTGGGAGGGGGCCCGGGCGGCCGCAGGGGCGTCCGAGGGTGCGGGCTGAGGGAGCCGCGCCGAGGCTGTGCGGAAAACAGTTCCCCGAAAACAACTGGATACCATAGCGCTCAGCTTCACGTTTGGCACATCACCGGACCGATCCGGACAGAGTATCTGAACGCCTCTGTGTGTTTGCAGCTGTATAAACACATGGAGATCCGCCCCCCCCCCCCCCCCCCCCAGTATACGGCTCCAAAAAAGTGTTTATTTGGTAGGATGTATTTGTGTAATGGTATCTAGTTTTGCCTAGTTTTTCTGTCTTGATGCACTTGCACTCATTCCCTTACAGTATTTTCAGAAGTATAAGTCTGTGGTTTTTACTGTACTTAATCCAAGTTAATATAATTACCATTAAAGTAAAACTGCATCTATTATATAAAAATGTGTGATGATAATAGGTAAAATAGCAAAATGATTATTTTTTTCTTTCAAGTTGTTGTTGGGTGTTGCATACGGTGCACAAAAATGTGTTTGTTATTCTGTATTTGGGGGATCCAAATAGCAATTGTACCTATCAGAGGACTAATTAATTCTTTGTGTGTCACTGGGAAACTCTCACAGTAATATTCAAGCAGTGGGCAGAAAGAAAGTAGATTCAGGTACTTAGAACATTTCTTAAAATATCAAGTCCTAGGGAAATTTATAATTAATTTACAATTCTGTTTTATTTAAAATAAAGTTACAAAATATGAATGAGATTTTGTAATATGACCAAGCTTCTCTGTGATAAATATTTCACTTTTGTCTAGTGTTCACCAGCATAAGGCACGCAAGTCAGAAGAATGTGTCTTGATAGTAATTCAGTGACTGTAAATCAGCACAACTGTAATCTTCAGGAGTCACATTTAGCACTGGGGATTTGATTTTTGTATTTTCTCATAAATTTTTGACTGCCTGAGGGGAAAAAAAAATCAGAAAGTAGAAAACTATAAGCAAACGCAGCATGTTGTTAGATTACAGCAGTAATGTTGGTACCAGTCTTCCCCTGGGAACCTTGTTAGATTGCAGACAAGATTCTTTCCAATCCACATATGAAAATGTGTTTATCTCTTACAAACACAATATAATGGTTTGAAGTGATGGCTGACAGCTTTAGTGAGAGAAAACCTAGCATAACCGAAGCTCGATGCAAAGGAGTGACTCCAGTTAAAAGAACAGCAGCGCAGCTGTATCCATTTAACTGGTAGAGTGGATTTGGTTGGGCCAGTTGCTAGGTAATGTCTCCAGCACCATGTATTTAAATGAATTTAAATGCTGGATGAATTACACACCTAGGTCTGCTTAAATAATCCACCTGGTATTGGCTCCAGCCATATTGAGTGCAGGTGTGTGTTGCTTCTCTCCAGCCAGTTTTCCCTTAATGTGCAGTTCCACTGTGCGGATCACATGCAGTTACCTTGTTCTGTGGTGGCTGCTGGGCAAGTTGAACTTGTCATACCAATTCTGTACTTAGTGTTTTGTAGTATACTTATTTAAAAGGAAAACAAGCCAAAACAAATAAAACCCAAAGCCAGTTAATGCAAACATTACTAGAAGCAGTAATTTCTAGAAGTAGACTTGAAGTAGACATTTATTTGATACAGAGTTGCAGGAAGAGTCTGATGTTATTCTTGGTTATGTTGCAATAACTGAATTACCTGACTTCAGTGAAGTTGCACAGAGCTTATGCAGTAGACAGTTGTGCTGGGACTTGCATTAGGGAGCTTGGGAGCACCAGTCTATGCAAGCTACTGTCAGTTACTAATTTTGCACACATGGGGCCTCCTGCATCTGGGCCAAGCAATACTAATCAATAGCGTGTTAAAAATACCACCTAGGAGAGAACTGACATCAGTCATCCCTGTGCATTCTGCTGCTGTAAAACTGACGTTGTTTACTGAGGGCAGTGTTATAAAGAAGTCTTTCTTTGGTCTAAAAGCTACCTGGAAACAGCCCTTTGCTGACTTCTTTTATAAATGGAATGTGGATGTCCGGCTTTATCTCTTCAACATTTATAATGTATGTTAGTGCAACATTTTGTGTTGCCATGAAGGAGAAAGTAAGAGGACCAGAATTCCCCAAAAGCAGCCTTCTAAGAAGTTTGCTTGGCTTAAGAAAACTCAGCTAGATTCCCCATCTGAAAAAGATTTCATAAATTTCTGATAGCACTTTCCTAAATATAAAACATGAGTGACTAGATTTTTCAAGTTCATATGTGTAATCTAGAAGAAAATAAGAGGCATACCTAATTCCAATGAGAACCACTACAGATTAAGCATCTTTAATACTGGAGGATGGCTTGCAGAGGCACAGAGAGCAGTGGACTGTCTGTACCACTCAGATCAAAATTGCATTTTGGAGAGGGTGCTATATTGAAAGTGCTATATTAAAAGTTTGGGGCATTGCTGTGGAACTATTCTGGCTTTATCTGTAATTTGCAGATTAACCCTGTTGACAGGAATTGGAAAAGAACTGTTAATAGAAACTTTTTTATGTTTCTTCCTGGAAGTTCACCAGAGACTAGGAGTTAAAAAAACCAATCTGTATTTGGCCACTGGCAATCCACGAGAGACACTCTTGTGTTGCTGTTCTGATAACTACTTAAAGCTAGCTTTTGGATTGTACTGTGTATATGCTATTAAGTTGGGGCATGTATATCCTGTGAAAACATACTTTAAGAAATAGGTTATTTTCTAAAATTGCTTTGATTTTCTTACCTACTTATTGGTATGACTTTTGCACATAATTACACACTTTGAGTTGATTCCCAGGAGTTCTTACCCTGATAACAATGGAACATAACACATCACAATAGTTGAACAATATTCATTGTGGGGGAGTGACGTAACAGGTTTGGTAGAAGATGCCTGTTGTATCTGACATTAAATTCTCTCTTCCACTCACAGTATTTTTCAGAGATTTCTAATTCTTTTAACCACGAATATATGAGTGTGGATAAAATAGCTGCAGGAGAGCAGTTTATGTGCGTCCTCAAATGTCTTAAGTATTTAATAGATAGCTAAGCAGCTCTCTGAGCTGGGGACAGTTTCTCTTTTTAGTTATGCAGTGTGTGAGGGGCAATAAAGTGTGAGGAAATGACTAGCTAAGGGGAGAGAGGCAATGAGGTCGGGAGGTTACTTCCATGTATTTGTTTTAAAGATGAGAAAAATGTAAGAAAGACTGTTGAATGCACAACACTGTAGTGAAGGTAGTTCTGACCAGATATAGCAAGAATGGGCAGCCTTCCAAATGCTACGAGAAAAGTTAGCAAATGCTTTTATTTTGAGAAGCTGTTGGCTAGTATAGACTGAAGAAAACCCACGTGAACTTTCAGACCTTCAGAAAAATGTTTGTGTGTGATGAAAACGTCTATAGCGTTAGTTTATTTTTTTAACACAAGTACATATGTGGTAGTTTCTGAAGAGCAGAAGACATTTCTCTACCTTGTCCCTCAAAAAGCTCGTCTGAGTATGTGCCTGTTAAGCAAACTTTCTTTCTACACTCCCCTGTTGAAACAGATACAGGTTTCTCTCTCAAGCTGCTTTTGTCTATTCTGGACAGCAGCAACACATTGACTCTGACATAATTCTTCCCAGTTATACTGCTGCAGATGGAATTCTTAGTACAAGGAATGAAAATTGATTTGACTTCTCAGTGTTTCTTTTGCTATAGCCTGGCATATTTTGTAGCAGCAGCAGATACTAAGGGTGCGTCTGTTAAATTTGAAAGCTCCTTCCCTGCCCATTGGAACAAGTATGGGGATAGGTAAATAAATTTTTAGTTTGTAGGAAAAAAGGTAACTTCCCCTACCTGTGAAACTGACTGGACAGACTGTTAAGGAAGGAGGATTTTTCATTTCCTCCAAACCCTATCAGTGTGCAAATTTGGAAAGTACTCTTAATAAATATTCCATATTAGTATAGCAATATATCTGTTGACTTATGTGAAAATTCAATTTGCGTGAGCATAGAAACTGATTATAATTTTTCAGACCAGTGGTTTTGCTAATGCATGAAAACTTTGATTAAGAAAGTTTATCTCAAAGAGCAATTGCTGACAGAGAGGAAGTAATAATGTGGCTATGAAATAATCTGCGTGAGTAAAAACTGTTTTCTGTAGGGGTAGAATAGCCAACATGTTTCTTGGGGTAAAACACATTGTGCTATGTTCTTTCTGCACTAACATTTCTGGGCTTTACAAAAATCAGAGAATCTCTCTTGCGTAATTTTAAATTGATTTTTCCTTCTTGTACAAAAGATCATTGGCACCAGTCCAGAAAAAGACAGGGAGCAAG